AGAGGGGTCTCTGCCAGGCAAGGTTCCCCTCTGCATTCGGAGCAGGGTCTCGGACAGGCCAGAAAGGTTTCTTTCTGGCGACACTTATTCGGTGCGTGCCTCCCTCCCTGGTCCCAGCAGCAGTCCACGAGCAGTCTGCTGTGAGCTCGGTTACTCTGAACTCCTTCGTCTCACTCCAAGCTGGTGGGGAGCCCTCTCACCCCCTTTTCAGGGGGAAAAAGCGAGCCTCGAAAAGGTGGAGGGAATCGCAGTGGTCACAGGTGGAGACTGGGAGTCAAGCCGCGTCTGCCGAGCGAGCTCGGGAGGCCCCCAGCCCCTGGCGGCCGCCCGCTGGTGCCTCTGCTGGGGCTGCCGCTGCTGCGGGCTGCCCAGGGCCACTGGCGGCTCTGGCGGAAAAGGCAGGGAGTTTGCATAGAGAGCATTCTCCCTGGCAACTAGCAGAGGGGCCGTAAAAAACCGAGAGGACGCCCAAGCTGCTTAACAGAGAGATCCACAGCAGCTGGACCCGGGAGGGGAGACCCGCGCCCTCCCCTGGGCTCTCTGAAGAACAGCAGGGCAAAGGGCTCCATCCCGGCTCCCAAAATGCAGGGGCAGAGGCTCCAGGGACAGGTGTAGACGGCCTGCTGTGATCGGGACCCGGACAGGCACGCGGACCCTAAAGCTGACCCTCGATGGGGGAAGGAGAGGACGAGGGAGCTGGCTGCCTGCACAGAGCTGAGGGCAGAGGGGCGAGGGGCTGCGAGCCACGGAGGGAGGCAGATGCAGAAAGCAGGGGAGGGCTCGGCGAAGCAGCTCCGTGTGCGAGCCCTGAGCGGGCTGCTCAGGGAGAGAGGGAGCTCCCTGTTCCGAGAGGCATCCGAGCAGAGAGAGGCAGGCCGGTACTTGGCCCGGAGGCTGCAGCGCGGCTCCCTGCCCGGGCTGGCAGCCCGCACGTCTAGGCCTCTGCGCAGCTCCTGCGGAGCTAAGTCCCGAGCGCGCGCGGGCGGCTGCAGAGAGGCAGCCTGGGGTCAGAGCAAGGATGCGCGCTTCCCCGGGTCCCTTGCCCTGAGCTGAATGGCAAAGGCAGCGCTGGCTGGTGGAGCGCCTCTGTCACAATGAGGCAGTGAGGGAGAGGCGCGGAGAATGGGGGTGAGTGCTCTCGGGGCCAGTGGAGGGAGGTGGGGGGCTGTCCTGAAGCCAACTCCCCATCTCAAGAGCCAGGCCACCTGGAGAGTCCCAGTGCCCGCCCTGGCTCTCAGGCTCAGAAAGGCTGGCCCGGGTCCGCCCAGGGGCAACAGGCTGGCGTAGAGGGTGGGGGGCAGCCTTCCTGGGGGGCAAATAGTAGGAGGGGGAACTGCTGAGTTGAGGGGCTGGCTGGTCACGGGAAAAGCAGGGCCCCTTCCTAAAGGCTGGGCACAGCCACCAATGGGGCTGGCTGCTGGACCGTGACTTGGATGCTCTGGGGACCCCTGAAAGCCCCTGATCCGGACGGAGCCGAGGGGCCTGTGTGGTGATGAATGAGGCCAACTCTGGAGTCTGGTGGGTTCTCCAAGCCCATTCATGGGGACTCAGTTCCCAGGAACTCTGGGTGGCTGGGGCCTGGATCAGGAGACCCCCGCTAGATGAGGCTCTGTTCCGCAGTTTCTAAAGGAGTTTTCTCGTCTTTGTTCCCGGTGGAGACACTCAGCACACGCGTGCGTGCGTGCGTGTGCATGTGCATGTGTGAAACAGGCTGGCTGAGGGGCCAGCCCAGATCCTTGTCCCTGAAATGACCAGGTGGCAGTGTCCTAGCCCACCCTCAGGGGCAGAGAGGCACCTCCATGGGGTAGAGAGATTCAGGGAGGTCAGCACCCCGGGGGCGTGAAGTCAGAGCCCTTGTCACCACTACCTGACTGTCCTGCTCCTAAGGAGCCACTCTGCCAGGGCACTGTCTGTCTGTCAGCCGCGGGTCCCCAGCTGCTCCGACCCGCCGTGGGGGGGCAGCATCGTGTTGCAGGTGGAGAGCTCAGGCTGGCTCCCTGCAGACAGACAGACAGACAGACCGCTGGCCGCCCACTGGAGAGACTTTGTTTCTCAAAGTCTCGTTTTGTTTTTCGTCATTGCTGTTGCTTTAAATGTATTTTAAAAAAAACGGACACTTTGAAAATGCCTGGTAAAGTGGTATTTACACGTGTCTCACAGTCCCTGCGGTCACGGGGGGCGGGGGGGTTCGGAAGGAGTCCCGCACCTAAGAAATCACACAGAGGATTCTGGTTGGGGTGGCTGGTGACTCAGAAGACGACTCAATGTCCTCGGTGTGGATTTAAAAACTCACTCACCCACATCCCTCGCCAGCCGGAGCCCTGGGACAGTAAAACCTTTAACCCCCGATAGGCAAGCTGGCTGGGGAGGGCTCCCTGAGGACGGCCCTGTCCCAGTCCCTCGCCCCAGGGGTTCCCAGGGCCCCAGACACAAACAGCCCGGCTCCCGGCTCCCGGGCCCAAGCGCGAGGAGTCAGGATGGAGCTGGGCACGGAGCTGGGGCAGCAGAGGCCCGGGCAGCTCCCAAACCGCCCGGGGAAACAGCCCCGGTGCAGCAGCCCACGCTCCGAGCAAACAAACCAAAACGTCGGAGAGAGGAGCCTTTGTGTCCGCAGCCGAGGAAGTTCACTTTTGTGTAAAAGGCAACACGCAAGTCGTGCTCCCACGGGGGCAGGCTGCGCTCAGGCACAAAACCCTCATTTAGGCTGGGCCCGGCCCAGGAGCATTTTCTGTGAAATTTAGGAGAAGTCAGGTTTAGCCAGAAGTTCTTCCAGGAATTATGAACCTCTGGAGACTGGAACCACTGTTCCTTCCGAGCCACCCCTGCCAAAGTCCATAAAACACGAGCCCAAAAAATCTGCCTGAACAGCAGCCTAACGTTTTATATATATTTATAAAAAATAAATAAAATAAACGATCGCCAAACTTTTCAGGAGAACCCAATTAGAGCCCCAGGGCAGTCCCTTCCCGGGCCCCCAGGTGCTGGGGGTGCACGGGGCTGCGGTGCAGGGGGCTGGGGTGCACGGGACTGCGGGTGCCCAGGACTGGGGTGCATGCAGGGTCTTTCCTCCCCGCTCCCATTGTCTCGGGCTCTTTCTCTTCCTCTGAGGGCTCCCACAGAAGCTCCGTCTCAGGAGGAGGGGAAGCGTTTCGGAGGGGATGAGCCAGACGAGGCTACTGACTTTTGTGTGGATGGCGTGTGGCTACTGTGCCGGCTGATTCGCTTATGTTTCGTTTTGGAGCCCGTGGGAGATTATTGCTGTGTTTAATAACAGGAAACTGAGGCACAGAACATCGCAAGGACTTAAAAAGACACGCAGCTCTCTGTCTGGTTCATAGCTGGCTTTGTTGCAAGATGGCTGGCCTCTTGGGGTGCTTCCTACTCACCCCCAGCCCCAGGGAAAGGAAAGGGACCTAGACCTTGAATGAGCTGGTGAATCCTCCACCCCAAGGGTGATGTGGACTGGGCATCGTAGCCCTCAACCCCAAAGCCTGTGCTCCTTCTAGCACATCCCACTGTCGCTAAGGTACAGGCACTACCCTCAACCATGTCCTCCCCCCCGAGCTGCCACCGTTGCCCCAGCTGGTGGCCCTGTCGTCACATGCTAGGACTCCCCTCTTTCACGCATTCTGGGACCAGCCCCGTTGCCCTCTGGCGAGGCGAGGGCCACGAGAGACGCACTCAAGCATTCCTAGGCTGTCCTGATGCCCCCGCAGCCCATCATGGTGCTCACGGCCGTGGGGCTCCCACCCCCGACCTGTGGCCCCCGGACTCTGGGTTCCGGGGCACCGCACACACGGCCACAGCAAGCCTGGGTGTGCACGCGAGAGGGCAGGACAGGGCAATGTGGGGCAGCGGGGTGCCAGCCGGGCTACCCGGGCATGTGTTTGCAATGTGACAGTATTCCGAGGACTCACCAGGGCCGCAGGGCCCGCAGCTCGGTCCCCAGCGCTGCCCGACAGCCCAGGAGAGTGTGCTGGTTTTCCGTGACAGGCCATCAGGTCCGGGCAAGACAGGAGCCGGGGGCCCTAGAAAGGGACAAAGGAGAGGGGTGATTGACATGTGGCTGGATGTGTGAATTGTAGAAAAACAGAAAACGTTGTCTGGGACTAGGAAGACGTGCCCATGAGGCATTCAGTTCTGGGGACTAAGCTTTGCTGGACTTTGGAACGTGGTGTCGGGGGGAAGCCGAGACGTTTGGTCTCGAAGGCCGAGGAGAGAGGCACAGAGGTGCAGGTGGGCCAGGGAGAGAGGGAGGGGCACGGGCTAGGCAGCTTCCAGCCAGACCCTGGAGGGTCTCACGTGCCAGGCTAAGGCCCTTGGACCACGTCCCAGAAACTCCGGGAAGTTAGATGGAGGATTTAAAGCAAGACAGTGACAAGGTCAAAATGGCATTTTAGAAAGATCACTCAGTGAAAATAAACTTTGCAAACTGTTGAAACAGCTACCCCACCTCTGAGAACATGGGGAGGGGGCGGTGTACCGCCGAGCCGCGGCCCCGCTCACTGCGGGGGCATTAGCGGTGCTGAGAGCGCCGGCCGCCGATCGGCCCCGGCGCGCGGCAGCTGAGCAAAATCAGACTAATTAAAACCTTGGTTCATGACATGCCCTCCTCATTGATCTATGCCAGGAACACTTCTATTTTATGTGTTCGTGTTTATTTATTTTCTCATATAACTTCACAAGCACCCATGAATCTTTTGGCCACCCCAAAGCTTCCACTGTGTGCGCGGGCACACACACACCCCAGCACACACACACAAACACACGCCAGCACACACACACACACACACCAGGGCGTGCGTGCGCGCACACACATACACACCAGCACACACACACACACACACCAGCACACACACGCACACACATACACACCAGCACACACACGTCTGGGGTTTTCAACAGGAGAGGAGGGTCTGATCGGCAGTGGGGCATACCTACCCTGGAATAGCAAACAACTCTTAAAAAGAATAAAGGAGCAGAGACCTATTGTCTTCTAAAATGGACCTTCGGATGTTGTGCAGAACTGGATTAATCATGATCTTTTGTTCATAGACACTTTCTCTTCACAGGTCCAGGCATGTCCCTGTTTTATGCTAATTTATGCATTCATATATTCATCTGTAATAATGCCATAAACACTCGGGAGCCCACTCCCCAACACAGACGGCAGCAATTACTTACACCTGCCTCCACCACCCGGCCCCCCGGGGTGAGGACCAAGGGCTTTCTCGGCAGCGGGGAGGAGGTTAAACAAAGCCGGGTAAGCGTGGATGGCTGGTGCCACCGCGTTGTTATAAGGACCGGCGTTGATCTTTATCATCTCCAAGCAGACTCCTGAGTAAAGAAAAACACGCTGTGCAGAAAGGAAATGGACACTATGATAGAGTTAATGCAGGATCTAAACAAAATCGTGCACTTTGTAGAGGTCTCTTTCTATACATATGCAAATGCACAGAAAAACATCGGCAACCACAACCTTGGAATCCTAACAACAGTTAATGCGAGGGGGTGGGGGAACTGCGATGCAGGGAGGGCTTGAGGCTGGCTTCTGCTTTTATCAGCAATGTCAGATTTTTAGTAATGAATGTGTTAATTATCAAAGCATTTCTCACATAATTAAACGTTTTTGGGGAGTGGGGTTTTTTGGTAACAAATACAAAAAGAAGGATATCTTGGCTGACGGAGCAGGAGTGGACACATGTCCCCAAACAAGATCTACAGGCGTAGGGGGTGATTTTATCCTGAAGATCCTCCCCTTTTTAACTTTATCTGTTCTAAAGCTGAGCCCGGGGCCCCGCGTGGCATGCCTGTGACGTGAGGCCAGCAGGTGTGCGCCTGGCGGCTGCGATTCCACCGCCCGCGGCCCCCAGTCCTCCCAGCGCCGCCAGCGGGGGTCTGCCATGCACCCACTGGGGAGTCCTTTCTCCTTGTCCATCTTTCAGAGGCCTGAAAGCTAATGCCCTGGCTCGTGTCCTCGGGGATTAGCTAACTGGAACGAGAATGTGACATGAAATGGGTCCCGGAGCAGGGGACATGGGTCTCCGGGGAGCAGCAGCCACGCAGCTCACATGCGTCGACAGCCGCATGGCTTGCTGGCGAAGAGCCGGTCGTGCTGGGCCCCCCGACAGCTCAGTCCCTGTGCAGAACCCACAGTGCCTCCTTTCCCCCCAGTTCCAACCGAGAGGGCATGTGGCTGAAGGACTAGGTGTTTCTAACCTCTCTGCCCCCTGCATGTCCAATAGCACAGGGCACCTCACCTCCCCAGCAGAGACCCCAAGGACACAGCTCCTAGCCAGCTCTGAGCCCAGATGGGCCGGAACCACCCCTGCATCCACACACAGCATCTAGCTGGCTCATCGCTTAGTCTCTCCTCCCACCACGTTAACACACGTCTCCCCTCCGCCAGGCAGAGACCCGTATTCCAGCGTGACTTTGTGGGGAGAAATGCGCGCGCAAGTGAGCAGTCCTCCACCAGCGTGACCCGTTCTCTGTCGCCTCCCCAGGCACGAGGCTCCACTACCTATGACGTGGCATTTTATTCTGGGCCAGGCCAGTCCTGGTGACTACGCTGAAGGGTCTGTGATCGTTTGTCAGATGCAAAGTAGATTTACGATCAATAAAAATAAAATGCCGTACCCAGACTGAAGATACCTGTGCCGCCTCCGGGCCGGGGCAATTCACCATGACGATGGTCACTCCTCCTAGGTAAATCCAGACAGTGTCAAAGGTGTGTCATTGGCTCAAGATCAGGCCCTTGGGACCCAGGGCTGACCTCCTTGTCCCTGTTCCCTGTGTTGTCCCTCGGGCTTCTACAAAAAGGAGGAGGGCTTTGTCAGGGACAGTCAGGAGAAAGTCCACCTAGAGCAAGAGCTGTGTTCCGTGTTGATCACCTTCTGAGCGCCAAGCACTTTACATTATTGCACTGAAGGCTGTCTCGTCCTGGGGGAGGAGGACTTACAGTCACTGGCCCAAGGTCGCCCACCTCCTCCCAGGGGGTCGGGCCCTCTCTGCCCTGAGCAGGACCCTCGAGCCCCAACACTGATGTCCTAGCTGTCAACCCTCTCAGATCACAGCGAGAGATGTTAACACCTCCCCTGATTACATGTAGCAGACGGACGGGAAGCCCTGCGGGATGCTGGAGTTTTAATTGGATGGCTGTATGGAGGGGGTAGAACCCCAGCTGCTCAAGGCCTCGACCTCCCCAAAACGGCTGTCAGTGTACCAGAGCAGGCGTACGTACCTGGTCTCTGCGAGGTCAGCCTAGGAGGGCCCCACACCCCTCGGGCAGGAGTGCCATCCCAGGGGGCCCGGGCACGGCCGCAGCGCGGCCTCAGGAACCCACCGACTCGCTGCCCCCTCCAGGGGCAGCGAGCCTCGGCTGTGGAACCAAGGGCTCAAGTTAGTTCCATTCTCAGGGGTCCACACATTTACAAATTGTTCAAATACGTAAAACAGAAAAAAAAGATCATTTTTCAGACCTTGGATTCCATCCCGGACCAGGTATCTGCTCCCTTCCCGGGAGAAAGCTGCGGCCTCACCTCTGGCCACCTGGGAAGGAAGAGAAGCTGCTCACGGGTCCCGGCCACCACCAGCAGCCCTACTGCGCGCTGAGGGAGGGGGGGCAAGACGATTATGAGGGTCCCTCTGGACATGGGCGGGGCTCCCAGGTGTTGAAACGCGTGGAGATGCTAGTTTCACTCAGGGTTGCACAGGGGCCCGACTCACATCAACTCTGAAGTGCGTTTGCTGAAGAGCAAATGGGGGTTCAGCAAGAACAAGGGGCCCCTAGTTGGGTGGACGTGCGGCCTGGGTCAGTGCCAGGCTGAGACCCGAATGGCTGGAGGTCCATCCTGGGCTGCAAATGCCCCTTCCGGAAAGGGGGGATAACAAAGTCACGCCTTCAGGGGTTATCATAACAATTAAGAGAATTGAAACAGCACCTGGCACATAGTAAGTACTCAAGCAATACCCCGGAAGGACCCAGAATGTAGCCATGTGCCAAGAGCGGGCTCACGATGGGGTCAGAGAGCAGAGCCCCACCCACTGTGGAAATGCATGCGACCCCAAGGGGGGGACTCGCAGCATCAAGACATGAATTTATCCTGTGACTTTGTAGGAAGAAGCGAGGTTGCAGTCCACAGGACCAGAGCAGACCTGCTGACTACCTGCATCACAAAGGTAAGACTGGCCGGGGGGACCCTGCTGACCGCCCACTGGGGCCTGGGGTCGGGGTGGCCTGGGCCCGTACGGGGTGGGCCGGCGACTGGGGGCAAAGCTTAAAGGGTTCGTTTGTCTGCAGAAAAACTGTGACATGGGGTGCTCAGTACTTCTGTTCCAATACTTGAAGGGCTATAATGAGCTGGTCCTGGGCCAGCTGTCCTGTCCCTCCATCAATGACCAGATCAGCCAAAATGAGTTGGGAATGACATCACCATGAGTGTTTCGGGGAGACAGAGGCACACATAGGTTCTTCTGGTCTGGCCTCCTATTGGGCCACGAGGCTGACCATGTGGACCACGGAATAAAATAGGCCTTTCTGGCCCTGAGGGTCCCTCAGGGTCCCCAAATGGCCATTACACACCCCACTCGGAGCACCTGCTCCTGCCCTCGTCAGCCGGCAGGGAGGGAGGAACATCTGGCTTTGAATGAATGCTGACCGGGCCTCTTCTCCCTTCTGGGCCTGTGAAACCTCTACATTCCACGCGGGACCCGGGGACACACCCGCCTCAGGAGGAGAACAGTCAGCAATGGGGCTGGGTGGGGAGGGTCCTCCCTGCCCCGAGCATAACTAAAAAATAGATATAAACCCCTCCGTCTGGAGGGCGTGTCCTTCCTGCACGCCCATCGCTCAACCTCACTGGCCACTGTCACCAGGGGTCATCAGTGGTCCCGGCGCCATCGCCACCTCCAGCCACAGCTCCTGGGCAAGTCGCCTTACCCTGGACACAGGTTCACCCCGTCAAGGCGAGGTCACCTCCCGGGGCAGTGGAATGACGAGGCTCAGCACCCTGTGTGGTCTGAACCTCGACAGTGACCACGAGAGGTTCGGAAAGTGGTAACACGGCGTCCTGAGGCTAAAATGGGCCCTTACTGTCCGCAGCACTTTGTGTTCCCAGAGGGCGGGGCGCTCACATCTCCCCTGGGGAAAGCTGCCCCCTCCACCTGTGAATGGGGACCCTGAGGGGGGCCTCTGCTCCCACTCGGGTGCTCCTTCCTGCCATGGGCGCCTCGCTCCTGGCCAGCAGCTCCGGGCCCGGCCACACAGACACAGACGCCAGAGACGGGACCAGCCCCCACTGTGACAGCCCCCCGCCAAAGGCTAGACGCCGTCATCCACCGTGCTCCCCACGGCAGCGTCGATGTGGGGACCTCTAATGAAATGAAATAGAGGGACCCCCAATCTCTAAGAGCAGCTGACAGAACTGAGGCAGGGTGGGGGTCCCCTGAGCCCCACCTTCTCTGCCAAACCCCTCCCCGTCACCAAAGCTCCCCAGGGCCGCCCTTCAAAGACCTCTCAGGAACCCAGGGTGACAGGAACACAGAGAAGACCACTCCCCAAGCCTCCTCGCAGGTCTGGGGAAGCTGGGGGCCCAGGAGGAGAGGGTTCCCCTGAAAGTCAGCGTGGGTCCCGACTGGCAGCCGGCTGGCTCACTTCCCTACGCACTCGCCTGGAAAGGCAAGAGCAGTGTCGTGAGCAGCTGATTGGCCAGCTGATCTGGGCAGCTCGGGAAACGCTCTCTCCGTGACCCCTCTCCCGGCCCCTCCCACGGGTGGCACCCCCCCAGGGTTATTCTGGGCAGAGTGATCCAGCTGCCCCCTGGAACTGCCAGTCAAGGGGTGGGGGGACGGCAGAGACTTGGCTGCAGGAGCGTTGCGGGTTGGGGCGCTGCCCTTCCCGTTGATGGCCGGGGGAGATGAGGGCTTCAGGGACCCTCTCTAAGAGCCCCCACCAGCCCGGCTTGGAGTTAGAGAAGCCCAGGGGACAACCCCAGCTCTACCATAACTCACTGCCTGTCCTGAGTCATGGTGACCCTTTCCAGAGACTCAGTTTCCCCCATGATGTCCAAGGCCAAG